TGGACAATTAGACCCAAGCCGAAACACAACATATAAAAAATAATGTTTTAAAATATATGTATATTTTTTTAATGATATTGTCCTCAGTGTGACATAAGTATACCAAGTTTGCAGTCGATACCACATTGGGAAGTGGGTTAAAATTGAGTTACAAGATTTGAAGATACAACGAAAACGACAACAACAACAAGAGACAGAGTGAGTTAAAACACATTCCTGCGGAGGGAGCTGGTAGGAACGTTGGGTTGCTCGGTCAATGGCCTGCAGGGTCAACGGCGGCGTGGTGTATTCCGCAAATATGGCCGACTGTGAGGGCGGGCACAAGCCGGCGTGAGTAGGTTAAACGTTGAGTTTTATAAGGGCACCACGGGGTGACCAGCCTCTCCCCACCCAGCCCCACCCCTCCCACCCAGCCCCACCCTCCTCACCCAGCCCCTCCCCACCCAGCCCCACCCCTCCCACCCCCCACCCAGCCTCACCCTTTCCACCCAGCCCCTCCCCACCCTCCCCTCTCCACCCAGCCCCACCCCTCCCACCCCCCCTCCCAGCCCCACCCACCCCACCCTCCCCACCCAGCCCCTCCCCACCCTCCCCTCTCCACCCAGACCCTTCCATTTTTGGATGCACGACGGACGGACGGACGGACACAATAATCCCCTGTGGGCTGGTGGAACCAGGTGGTTCCTACCAGTATAAAAGCGTGTAATAGTAAAAACCACGAACACATTTGTTTTATTTGACCATGTGTAGGGCCCCACTGGGCCGCTGTGTGGTCGCTCTTTGTCAGAAGCCAACCCTGGCGATCGCCGATGAAAGCGTCCCCACGAAGTGAATCGCCATCGGCGTCATCGTCGTGTGGAAATTTATAGTAGCGGCCAAATAACTCGATTCTAAATGTGGGAGGGAAAACCCGGAGGGCCCGGAGAAAGTTTTCACGCGACCACGGGGAGAGAGAGAGACGCAAACTCCAAATCGACAGCAACAGGCATCGTCAGGGTCGGGATTGAACCTATGACCTCCTGCACACCAGGCGAAGTAGTCAACATTTCCTAGCCACCGTGATGATGATGATGATGATGAGAGAGAGACGTAAACTCCAAATCTACAGCAGCAGGCATCGTCAAGGTCGGGATCGAACCCACGACCTCCTGCGTACCAGGTGAGGTAGTCAACATCTCCTAGCCACCGTGATGATGATGATGATGAGAAACGCAAACACCAAATCTACAGCAGCAGGCATTAGGATCGGGATCGAACCCACGACCTCCTGCACACCAGGCGAGGTAGTCAACATCTCCTAGCCACCGTGATGATGATGATGAGAGAGAGACGCAGACTCCAAATCTACAGCAGCAGCAGCCAGGATCGGGATCGAACCCACGACCTCCTGCACACCAGGCGAGGTAGTCAACATCTAGCCACCGTGATGATGATGATGATGAGAAACGCAAACTCCAAATCTACAGCAGCAGGCATTAGGATCGGGATCGAACCCACGACCTCCTGCACACCAGGCGAGGTAGTCAACATCTCCTAGCCACCGTGATGATGATGATGAGAGAGAAACGCAAACTCCAAATCTACAGCAGCAGGCATTAGGATCGGGATAGAACCCACGACCTCCTGCACACCAGGCGAGGTAGTCAACATCTCCTAGCCACCGTGGTTGAATAGTTACGCAGCAGACTATTAGGGGCCTTACCTGCTAACATCAAATTAAAACGAGTTCACAGTTTTGTTGAGTTACTCGCCACCAACAGCACTTGCCCCTCCAACAGGCTGCTGGGAGGCTATGCGGTGCATCTTTGTCTTTGTGTGGGTGTGCCTGCCCGTGTGATAAAATTAGCAGTTCGTGATGAGATCTGTTATCGGCCCTGCAGCTGTGTAAGGTTATTAGAGATTGGTCGCCAGGGATTCAACACACGGCGAGGAGTGACACCGCGGCGAGCAGGCGTGGGCGTGCGGATGGAGCGTGGGGCGTGAGTGCTGGGTGTGTGTGTCCATGTGTGAGTGTGTGGGTGAGTGTGTTCATGTGTGTGTGTGTTCATGTGTGTGTGAGTGTTCCTGTGTGTGTGTGTGTTCATGTGTGTGTGTGGATTTGTGGGTGTGTGTGTGTGTCCATGTGTGTGTGTGGGTTTGTGGGTGTGTGTGTGTGTCCATGTGTGTGTTTGGGTAAATGTGTTCATGTGTGTGTGTGAGTGTGTGTGAGTGTATTCATGTGTGTGTGTGTGTGTTCATATGTGTGTGTGTGTTTGTGGGTGTGTGTGAGTGTGTCAATGTGTGAGTGTGTTCATGTGTGAGTGTGTGGGTGTGTGTGTGTGAGTGTGTGAGTGTGGGTGAGTGTGTTCATGTGTGTGTGAGTGTCCATGTGTGAGTGTGTTCATGTGTGTGTGAGTGTTCATGTGTGTGTGAGTGTCCATGTGTGAGTGTGTTCATGTGTGGGTGTGAGTGTGTGGGTGAGTGTGTTCATGTGTGAGTGTGTCAATGTGTGTGTGTGAGTGTGGGTGAGTGTGTTCATGTGTGTGTGTGTGGGTAAGTGTGTTCATGTGTGAGTGTGTGTGAGTGTGTACATGTGTGTGTGTGTGTCCATGTGTGTGGGTGTGAGGGAGCGGTAGTGTAGCGGTTAGCGCGCTGCGCTATGAACCTGGTGACCCGGGTTCGATTCCCGCTCAGCGGCCAACACCAGTGACGATTATCTGAATCGATCCTGGGCCTCCCCTAGGTCGACTCAGCCTGAAATGAGTACCTGGTGCGGTGTGTAAACATCGCCACTGGGGAGACAAAGGCGGTCGGGCGTGGTGCTGGCCACCCACCCCCTCGTGTGCCGTTCCGGCCTTCATAGGTGCTCGCTAACAGCACTTGCCCCTACAGTCTGTTAAGGCTATACGGGGGATCTTTATATGTCTGTGTGTGTGTGAACGTGTGAGTGTGTGGGTGAGTGTGAACGAGTGGATGAGTGTGTCAATGTGTGAGTATGAGGCCGTCCATAAATGACGTCACGCGATTTTGGACGATTTTTGACCCCCCCCCCCCCCCATCGTCACACGGCGTCACAAAAAGTCAGACCCCCCCCCTCAAATATGACGTCACAAAGCTCTGCCCCCCCCCCCCCCAAATAAATAAAACATGCTTCAAATCGCTTTAAACTATCGTCATTGTAGTGCGTATTTAATGTGGCGCTGCACTCTGATGTTGTAGGAGAAAACATTTATTAAAAAAAAGATCAATTTAATTAAGTAGAACGTGTTGTCTGTATTTGTTTAAAGTTGCGCATTTTGATGTGACGTCACATTTCTGAACCCCCCCCCCCCCTCGTCACACATCATCACAAATGTCTGACCCACCCCCCTAGGTGCGTGACGTCATTTATGGACGGCCCCTATGTCAATGTGGGAGTGTGTCAATGTGTGAGTGTGTGGGTGAGTGTACGCAGGAGGTCGTGGGTTCTATCCTGACCCTGACGATGCCTGCTGCTGCTGTAGATTTGGAGTTTGCGTCTCTCCCTCTCTCATCATCATCACGGTGGCTAGGAGATGTTAACTACCTCGCCTGGTGTGCAGGAGGTCGTGGGTTCTATCCCGACCCTGACGACGCCTGCTGCTGTCGATTTGGAGTCTGCGTCTCTCTCTCATCATCATCATCACGGTGGCTAGGAGATGTTGACTACCTCGCCTGGTGTGCAGGAGGTCGTGGGTTCTATCCCGACCCTGACGACGCCTGCTGCTGTCGATTTGGAGTCTGCGTCTCTCTCTCATCATCATCATCACGGTGGCTAGGAGATGTTGACTACCTCGCCTGGTGTGCAGGAGGTCGTGGGTTCTATCCCGACCCTGACGACGCCTGCTGCTGTCGATTTGGAGTCTGCGTCTCTCTCTCTCTCTCCCCGTGGTCATCCCTACCGATTGTTTTCCCTCCCACATTTAGAAATTCGCTTTCTGGAGCATTCTCCCGCCGCCGCTCCACACACATTGCCACATCGCACGCGATGCTATCGCTCACTCCGTCGATCTACCGTCATTTGTGATGAATAGCTGAACCACTTTGCGAGTTCAGTAGTGGGGGGCGAGGTGGGGGGCTGCATTACACACCTGGGGAAATATACATCAATACATCGAATTTGTTTTCAAGTTTTCAAATTTAATTTATTAGGAACGAGCTGTACTACCCCGGCTTCGCCCGGGACTTGGATTCACCACACCCGGCCGCCTTTGTCTCTCCAGTGGCGATGTTCACACACCAGTTACTCGTTTGAGGCTGAGTCGACCTAGGGGAGGCCCAGGACCGGTTCAAATAATCGTCACCGGTGGTGGCCGTGAGCGGGAATCGAACTCGGGTCGCCAGGTTCGTAGCGAGGCGTAGCGCTAACCGCTACACTACAACGCGTGACGCTTCCACGTGCGCGGGTCACGTGACAGATGTGACGTCACAGCTCACTTGCCGTGCAAAAAATAAATGCATTATTGAGCTCCCCCCCCACAAAAAAAATACCAAAAGTGTATTTTTATAATTTTTGCCCGGTATACAGTCTGGAAAGTACCCACATGGCAAATTTAAAGTTTGTTGCATGTCGGGAAGTACGCTAAACATTTTGAACAGACACACATATTCACAACTTTGCCTTTTAAAGATATGGAGGTTATAGCCCTGTGAGCCATGCGGCTCTTCTTGAGTCGGGTGCAACTGCAACAAACAAAAACATGAACAAAGAAAACATCTTAAAGCGACGACGCGCAACAGAAACATCCTGGGATAAACCAGCAAATCTTCCAGGATAAAAAAACCACCACCGTATTACAACGCCGTGTGATAGTTTTAGTTTAGTATCCCACCCCCCACCCCCCCCCAAAATCATGCACAATCATCGATTTCCATTCCGCCTTTCGTCCTCTCACTCCTCCACGTTGCCCAACAGCGATGTTGAAATGTTGACTCCCACCCCCTTGTTGTTTTGACACCGAGGGAGCGACCAGCGGCTCACCCGCTCGCGATACGCACCGAGCCCACGGTGGTTTGGTAGTGGGGGGGGGGTCCTCACATCGAGAGAGAGACAACCGAGGGACCGCGTGAGTAACCCAGCGATGTTCATCGTCAACGGACGGCTTTTTTCGATTTAAAGCTTTCGTGACTGCAGGGATTAATCTTCTTGGTTCTTTCGGTAAAGTCACGTAGAAGGGAAATAATAAAAATAAAACATAATAAAATAATTCTCACGACGTTTCGGCCACAACGCAAGCAGCCGTCCTCAGGTGAAGAACAGGTCTGTCGGAAAGACAGCGTCTGAAATGACGCTGTCTTTCCGACAGACCTGTTCTTCACCTGAGGACGGCTACTTGCGTTGTGACCGAAACGTCGTGAGAATTATTTTTTATTATTTTATTATTTCCCTTCTACGTGACTTTACCGAAAGAAGCAAGAAGATGGATGGCTTTTTGTTATTGTTGTTGTTTCATTGTTCCCGTGTCATTGTTGTTGTTGTTGACGATTGGCGCTGTGTAGCAAAACAGAGATTACCTCCTAACGGCCTAACCCATACCCCCCCTCCCACCTTGTATGGACTTCGACGGAGTGTTGTGGGTCAAGTTGATGTCAGCGAGCACCTTCTGAAGGGCGACACTGGCACGAACGTCCATCTCAAAACACACACAGACACACACACAGAGACACAAAGATCCCCCGTATAGCCTTAACAGACTGTAGGGGCAAGTGCTGTTAGCGAGCACCTATGAAGGCCGGCACGGTACACGAGGGGGTGGGTGGCCAGCACCACGCCCGACCGCCTTTGTCTCCCCAGTGGCGATGTTTACACACCGCACCAGGTACTTATTTAAGGCTGAGTCGACCTAGAGGAGGCCCAGGACCGGTTCAGATAATCGTCACTGGTGTTGGCCGTGAGCGGGAATCGAACCCGGGTCGCCAGGATCATAGCGCAGCGCGTTAACCACTACACTACCGCTCCCACTAGAGACACACACACAGAGACACACAGACGAGACAGAGACACACACACAGAGACAGAGACACACACACAGACACACTCACACAGACACACAGACACACACACAGACACACACACAGAGACAGAGAAACACACACACAGAGACACACACACAGAGACACACACAGAGACACACAGAGACACACACACACAGAAAGACACACACAGAGACACACAGAGACACACACAGAGACACACACACACAGAGACACACACAGAGACACACACACACAGAGACAGAGACACACACACAGAAACACACACACAGACACACACAGACACACAGAGACAGAGAAACACACACACACAGAGACACACACACAGAAACACACAGACAGACACACAGAGACACACACACAGAGACACCCACAGAGACCAACAGACACCCAGACCCACAGAGACACCCACAGAGACACCCAGACCCATAGAGACACCCATAGAGACACACACACACAGAGACAGAGACACACATACAGAGACACACACACAGAGACACACACACAGACACAACCACACACAGAGACACACACACAGAGACACACACACAGAAGCACACACACAGACACACAGACACACAGAGACACCCACAGAGACCAACAGACACCCAGACCCACAGATACACCCACAGAGACACCCACAGAGACACCCAGACCCATGGAGACACCCATAGAGACCCACAAAGACACCCAGACCCATAGAGACACCCATAGAGACCCACAAAGACCCACAGATTAGCGCGGTTGTCTACGTACGGTGAGGAAGAAGTTCAACACACAAAGACAAAGACCCCCCCCCCCCCCGTGTAGCCTGTAACAGACTGTTGGGGCAAGTGCTGTTAGCGAGCACCTATGAAGATCGGCACGGCTCACGAGGGGATGGGTGGCTGGCACCACGCCCGACCGCCTTTGTCTCCCCAGTGGCGATGTTTACACAACGCACCGGGTACTCATTTGAGGCTGAGTCGACCTAGGGGAGGCCCAGGACCGGCTCAGATAATCGTCACTGGCGGTGTTGGCCGTGAGCGGGATTTGAACTCAGGTCGCCGGGTTAGTAGCGCAGACCACTACACTACCGCTTCCTGCAACATACACACACAGGGACCCACAGACACCCAGACCCATAGAAACCCACAGAGACCCATAGATTAGCGTGGTGGGCTACGTACGGTGCAAACGAAGTTCAGCATACATACACAGAGACCCACAGACACCTAGACCCATAGTGACCCACAGATACACCCCATAGAGACCCACAGAGACCCACAAATTAGCGCGGTTGGCTACGTACGGTGCGAAATTAAGTTCAACACACAGACACACACAGAGACCAGAGGTCGCAACCGGGTACCCGATACCCGTACCCTACCCGATACCCGGCTACCCGTACCCGGCCGGGTACGGGTACCCGTTTGCGACCCTGGTGCGGCCGGGTACGGGTAGGCCGTGAGTCACTGGTAAATCACCGTTTGTCACTCATTTCCCAACGTCTTGTCTCTTCTCACAATTCAAGTTCCTAAAATCAACCCACCCGCGCCTGCAACATGGCTTCATCCCAGAGGTCGCAATCGGGTACCCGTACCCTACCCGATACCCGGCCGGGTACGGGTAGCCGGGTATCGGGTAGGGTACGGGTACCCGTTTGCGACCCTGGTGCGGCCGGGTACGGGTACGGGTAAGGAATCAAAACCCGTTTGCGACCTCTGACAGAGACCCACAGACACCCAGACCCATAGAGACCCACAGATTAGCCTGGTTGGCTACGTACGGTTCAGAAGAAGTTCAATGTTTACACACACACAGAGACCCACAGAGACACCCATAGAGACCCATAGAGACCCACAGATTAGCCCGGTTGGCTACGTACGGTGCGAAATTAAGTTCAACACACAGACACACGCACGATATCTTCTTGGTTCTTTCGGTAAAGTCACGTAGAATGGAAATAATAAAATAATAAAAATAAAACATAATAAAATAATTCTCACGACGTTTCCGCCACAACGCAAGCAGCCGTCCTCAGGTGGAGAACAGGTCTGTCAGAAAGACAGCGTCTGAATGACATTCAGACTCTGTCGTGAGAATTATTGTATGTTTTATTTTTATTATTTTATTATTTCCATTCTACGTGACTTTACCGAAAGAACCAAGAAGATGAATCCCTGCAGTCACGAAAGCTTTAAATCGAAAGACACGCACGATACATAACAAGGGCTGTATATGGGGGGGAAGGGAGTCTTTGTCTCTGTTGTTGAGCCACGTTGTCGGTAAAGGGCCGTGTGGCTGATGTAAGGGGGCATTTTAAAGTCTCCCCAGCAGAGGTCGCAACCGGGTACCCGATACCCGTACCCTACCCGATACCCGGCTACCCGTACTCGGCCGGGTACGGGTACCCGTTTGCGACCCTGGTGCGGCCGGGTACGGGTACGGGTAGGCCGTGAGTCACTGGTGAATCACCGTTTGTCACTCATTTCCCAACGTCTTGTCTCTTCTCACAATTCAAGTTCCTAGAATCAACCCACCCGCGCCTGCAACATGGCTTCATCCCAGAGGTCGCAATCAGGTACCCGATACCCGTACCCTACCCGATACCCGGCCGGGTACGGGTAGGGTACGGTCGGGTACGGGTACCCGTTTGCGACCCTGGTGCGGCCGGGTACGGGTACACGGGGTAAGGAATCAAAACCCGTTTGTGACCTCTGCTCCCCAGGCTTCGCCCACCGGCTCAATGCTGCCCCCTAGTCGCAGCGTGGAGTGGGTTGATGCACGACAACAATGAGAATCGTCGTTTCTAAATCGGTGGCGCAATTTCTGTCGCGTCCAGGGACTCAAGTTCATTTATTAGGTATAGCCCTGTGAGCCATTCGGCTCTTGAATCGGGTGCAACCGCAACAAACAAAAAACATGAACAAAAAAACATCTTAAAGTGACTAAGTGACTGAGTGCAAACAGGAAATCCAAGAAAAGACAGCAAAATATTGCAGAAAAAACACCGTACACCAACACTGTGTGCAAGCATCCCAGTGGGATGCAAGTCAAACAACAACAACAACCACAAGACAACTTATATTAAGGCCATCAGTCTAACTCTGTACTACAACAAACAAACATGGCCAAACCAAAAAACATTTCGAAAATCACCAATGTTAGCCATGCCGCAACAAACAAAAACACGAACAAAAAAACATCTTAAAGTGAATATGTGACTGAGTGCAAACAGAACATCCAAGAAAAGACAGAAAAATATTGCAGAAAAAAACACCGTTACACACCAACTCCTCCTCTACTTACGAACAATCGACTTGCGAACTTTCACAGATACGAACGAACCCTGTCCCGTATGTCCAGGCGCCGTCTTTGTCCAATGGCCAGCACAAAAGCCGCCGTAGCTGTGGATGCTGCTGCTGCAAGGATGATGAGCGGAGTTGATCTGATGATGGGGACTGTCCATAAATGACGTCACGCGATTTTGGACGATTTTTACCCCCCCCCCCCTCGTCACACGGCGTCACAAAAAGTCCGACCCCCCCCCCTCAAATATGACGTCACAAAGCTCTGCCCCCCCCCACCACCCAAAACCATATTTCCATTTTGAAAATAAAACACGCTTCAAATCGCTTTAAACTATTGTCATTGTAGTGCGTATTTAATGTGGCGCTGCACTCTGATGTTGTAGGAGTGTTGTTATAACAATTAGTGTTGTTATAACAATTCTATATTTATTTAAAGTTGCGCATTTTGATGTGACGTCACATTTCTCAAACCCCCTCCCCTTCCTCGTCACACATCGTCACAAAAATCTGACCCCCCCCCCTAGGTGCGTGACGTCATTTATGGACGGCCCCATGGTTTATAGCGCCCTTGACGAGATCGCCAGCGAGGTATTGAGGTGGTTCTCTGGGGTCAAAACATTTCGCGTGTGTGTGGTGTACCGAGCGTCATGACCTCACAATAAAAATTATACTGGTAGGAACCCACTGGTTTCACCAGCCCACAGGGGATTATTGTGTCCGTCCGTCCGTCGTGCAGGGAGGGGCTGGATGGAGAGGGAGGGGCTGGGTGGGGAGGGTGGGGAGGGGCTGGGTGGGGAGGGTGGGGAGGGGCTGGGTGAGGAGGGTGGGGAGGGGCTGGGTGGGGAGGGTGGGGCTGGGTGGGGTGGGGAGGGGCTGAGTGGAGAGGGGCTGGGTGGGGCTGGGTGGGGGGGTGCGAGGGGTGGGGTTGGGTGGGGAGGGGCTGGGTGGGGAGGGTGGGGTTGGGTGGGGAGCGGCTGGTCACCCCGTGGTGCCCTTATAAAACTCAACGTTTAACCTACTCACGCCGGCTTGTGCCCGCCCTCACAGTCGGCCATATTTGCGGAATACACCACGCCGCCGTTGATCCTGGCCATTGACCGAGCAACCCAACGTTCCTACCAGCTCCCTCCGCTGGAATGTATTGTATTCGTTCGGCAACGTGACGATTGTGTTGACCTTTGTGACGTTGCAGGGAAGGGCTCTTCTGATTGGCGAGCGTACTGCAAGGGGGCAGCGTCAGACATGCAGACAGGTAACGCTAATTTCTATAACATTGAATGCTTTTTCTGGTGTACATTAATAGTACAGGGACCTCCTCTACTTACGAACGAGTTAGGTTGCAGATGTTCTTTTCGTAAGTCGATTTGTTCGCAAGTCCAACTTTACTCCCGTCGATTGCAAACACGTTGTAGTGCATGTACACTAAACACGGGGAATGGCTTTAAAAGTTGTAGAATCTCCTGTAAAAAAGACACGCAAACGCCAAACAGAAGGCGTCAGGTTCGGGATCGAACCCACGACCTCCTGTATACCAGGCGAGGTAGTTAACATCTCCTAGTCACCGCGGCTCCCCTAAGCTTGAGATTCAGCAAAGTTTTTGTTCCCTCCCCACGGGGTAAATGAATGCGACATTAAAATAAAACAAATTCATTCCCTCTCATGGGGTGCCACGGTGGCTAGGAGATGTTAACTACCTCGCCTGGTACGCAGGAGGTCGTGGGTTCTATCTCGACCCTGACGATGCCTGCTGCTGTAGATTTGGAGTTTGCGTCTCTCTCTCATCATCATCATCACGGTGGCTAGGAGATGTGAACTCCCTCGCCTGGTATACAGGAGGTCATGGGTTTGATCCCGACCCTGACGATGCCTGCTGCTGTATATTTGTAGTCTGCGTCTCTCTCACTCTCAGCATCATCATGGTGGCTAGGAGATGTTAACTACCTCGCCTGGTATACAGGAGGTCATGTGTTCGATCACGACCCTGACGATGCCTGCTGCTGTATATTTGTAGTCCGCGTCTCTCTCACTCTCATCATCATCACGGTGGCTAGGAGATGTTAACGACCTTGCCTGGTATACAGGAGGTCGTGGGTTCGATCCCCACCCTGCCGTCACCCATGATAGCAGCTCACCGAAGCGCCTTATCATCGCCATCGTCATCGGCGCGCGAATCAATTTCCATTAAGAACGTCGACCCACCGCTCTTCTCTTTTTTTGCGTGACAACAGAATGGACTCCACCGGCCACGTCACCCTCCCAGAAGTCTCCGCGGCGAACATTCTTCAGGAGGAAGCACCGGGAGGACACGTGGCCCTCCGAGAGGGCCCTGCTCGGGCAGCCCGAAGCCGACCCTCCCGAGCCCCACCAGCGCCACCTCTTCGGATGCCCCATGGAGGGCCTCTGGGAGGAAGGGCTCGCGCCCCGGGCAATCAGGGTACGGGGGGGGTGGTGGGGCATTACCAAATAGGAGATGTGTGCGTGTGTGTGAAATTAAATCAAATGATTTAATTTAGTTTTTTTTTATTATTATATTTTTTACCTACGTGATTTTACGGAACAAACCTTAGAGTACAAATGTTGAGTTAAAGCTTTTGTGACTGCAGGAATTCATATTCTTGGGTCTTTCGGTAAAGTCACGTAGATAGGTTCAGGAAAAAGCAAAAAGACGACACCTTGTGTTGCGATCGAAACGTGGTAGTTTTTTCTTATGTTTTGTTATTTTCTTTGAACCTATCTACGTGACTTTACCGAAAGACCCAAGAATATAGTACAAATGTGTCGTTAAACCTGCCACCACCCGACACAGACAAATATTAAGGTTTGTCACGTAAACAGAACGTGGCCAATTCATTACAGCACTAACCGGTTGTGTGTTGGAGAGAAAATCCACAGCATTTACAATCTAAGTACTGAGTACAATTACAATCAGTACGTTACTAGTACAGCACTAACCGGTTGTGTGTTGGAGAGCAAAGCTATATACACTACACTATACACTACTATGCATTACACTATACACTGCACTATATACTACACACTACACTACACTATACGCTACACTTTTAGCTAACCTTCGAACGAAGACAGTCACCGCATCGCTTGGCGCTTTCAGATGCTATAGACACTACACTATACACTACACACTACACTATACACTGCACTACACTACACACTACACTATACACTACACACTACACTATACACTACACTATACACTACACTATGCACTACACTATACACTACACTATACACTACACTATACACTACACTATACACTACACTATACACTACACTATGTACTACACTTTACACTGCACTATACACTACACTATGCACTACACTATACACTACACTATACACTACACTATGCACTACACTATACACTACACTATACACTACACTATACACTACACTATACACTACACTATATACTACACTATACACTACACTATGCACTACACTATACACTACACTATACACTACACTACACACTACACTATACACTACACTACACTATGCACTACACTATGCACTACACTATACACTACACTATACACTACACACTACACTATACACTACACTATACACTACACTTCCAGGTTGTCTCCAGAGGCACACTTCCTGCGGTATCGTTTTTTTGCAAATTCTCTGAAGTGTTCACATGTTTTTTTGTGAAGCACCCTGTACACGTGTGCGTTCATTTGTGGACAGGAGCTCCTAGGACGGCTCTGGCGGCGAGCCCCCTGGGAGCCGGGGGTGTTCAGGCGCAGCCCGGGATTCCGCACCTCGCGGGAAATCCGCAACAAGATCAACGCCAACTCCCCAGCCGACCAATGGGAGCACGGCTCGCCCGTCGCCCTGGCAACCATCCTCAAGGTGCACTCTGGGAGCGCTGTGACGACACCACCATGTCGTCACAAACGAATCATGAAAAAAATTAACCCGTAAAAACAAAGTTTTTCACTCTAAATCCTTTATATGCGTGGCGGCTAGAGTCCTCTCGTCCTCTGGCTTGAGATGGCTGCCACCTATGGGTCAGATCATTGTCTGCCAGCATTAAGCAATTGGTAATTGAATATTTTAAAAAAATTCCCTAAACAGTGTAAAATTTTGGAAAAATGTTTTCACGAAAATTAATTGTCACGCACAACGAGTCTGTGTGGAAAATGTCAGCTCGATTGGATCACGGGAAGTGGGTTAAAAAACGACCAAAATATTTGCACGGTCGTAAGCAAGCAAGCAAGCACACAAGCACGCAACCAAGCAAGCGAACTTAATATAAAGGATTTAAAAAAACGCTTCGAACGTCGTCGAAGTTGTCGCCTCTTGACGATTTTATTTTTCTCGTGAATGGCAATTGTGGGTCGAACATCCGCCCGTGACTAACACGACAAGCGATCGTGTGAGATTGTCTTCGGCGAAGACTGCACACAATGATAACGCAGTCAATCTGGTCATATTTACAAGATCACTAACGCCAGGTGGCTCAAATATCAAAACACTTACCCAGAATGCACCGCTGAGTTCCTGGGTTCCTATTCTAAGCAGCATTGGGTTTTTTTTCCTCACAAACTAACTTTTCTGTAGCTATTTGAATCTTTCGTGACTGCAGGAATCCATACTCTTTGGTTCTTTCAGTAAAGTCGCGTAGTTAGAAATACAAGAAAATAACTACGTGACTTTACCGAAAGAACCAGAGAGTGTGTAGCTATGTTGCTATTTGACCAGGCAAGGCCCACCTGAGCTGCGTAGATCTTTTTGAGAAGTGTTCTGGCCGCAAATGATCGCCCAACGAGGTGGGATATCACCGTAGCAGCAGAATACGCTAAACGCAACAGAGATGTGTCTGTAACTCTGTGCGCGTGACTGTGTGCGCAAATGATTCTGTGTGACTGTGTGCCGTGAGTCTGTGACTGTGCGTGAATGAGTTTGTGACTGTGTGCGGCTGTATGTGTGCGATTGTGTCTGTGTGACTGTGTGTGACTGTGAGTCTGTGTGACTGTGAGTCTGCGTGACTGTGTGTGTGTGAATGTGAGTCTGTGCGACTGTGTGACTGTGTGTGTGACTGTGTGTGTGAATGTAAGTCTGTGTGACTGTGTGACTGTGTGTCTGTGTGACTGTGAGTCTGTGTGACTGTGTGACTGTGAGTCTGTGTGACTGTGTGTGACTGTGTGTGACTGTGTGTGTGAATGTGAGTCTGTGTGACTGTGTGAATGTGAGTCTGTGTGACTGTGTGTGTGACTGTGTGTGTGACTGTGTGTGTGACTGTGAGTCTGTGTGACTGTGTGTGTGAATGTGAGTCTGTGTGACTGTGTGTGTGACTGTGTGTGACTGTGTGTGTGACTGTGTGTGTGACTATGTGACTGTGTGACTGTGTGTGTGACTGTGAGTCTGTGTGACTGTGCACGTGTTCACCGCTTGCTCCAGGAATTCCTTCGCTCCGTCCCTGGAGGGTTTTTCCCTCGCGACAGCTACGAGCAGTGGGTGGCTGCCGTGGGCTGTTCGGACGATCCCTGGGAACCAGAAGCCACCGTTCGGAGGATTGAGACGTAAGCCTCCCCCATCGCCTCCATCTGCCCACCCCTACCCCACATTGATTAAGGGGCCGTCCATAAATGACGTCGCGCAACTTTAAATAAATATAGACAACACGTTCTACTTAATTAAATAGACATTTTAATAAATGTTTTCTCCTACAACATCAGAGTGGAGCGCCACATTAAATACGCACTGCAATGACAATAGTTTAAAGCGCTTTGAAGCATGTTTTAAAACATTTGGGCGGGGGGGGGGGGCAGAGCTTTGTGATGTAATATTTGAGGGGGGGGGGTCTGACTTTTTGTGACGCCGTGTGACGAGGGGAAGGGAGTCCAAAATTGTCCAAAATCGCGTGACGTCATTTATGGACGGCTTCAAATCTAGAATCAATACCCTCTACGGGGAGGAATTTCACCCATCTGTTAGAATTTTTAACAGACAACGAGACAGATATTTTGCTGTGACGGTTTCACCTGAAGACGGTAGCTTGTGTTGCCTCCGAAACGTCGTGATTTTTATTGTTTTATTTTTATTAATTTTACCTACGTGACTTTACCGAAAGAACTAAGAGTATGAATCCTTGCAGTCACGAAACCTTCAAATCTAGAATGAGCTTCTATCATTTATGATGGCCAGGCCGCTTCTGAAAAAGAGCTACGTAGCAGCTTTCTTGGGTGAGATCACGTAAAATATAAATGTGTCGTTAAATCCGCCACCACCACCATCCGACATGCTCAATGAGTAAAAGTTTAGTCACACAAAACAAAACGTTGACAATTCGTTACGAGATCGGCACTAAGCGATTATTGTGCATTGGAGAGCGTAAACCCACAGCAACATTGACAATTCGAGTACACGCAAAAATAAACCTTTCTTATGAGCTAAACAGAGATAGGACAACAATAGAAAATAGTTTTTTAGTTTCGCATGTTCTTGGTTCTTTCGGTAAAGTCACGTAGAAGGGAAGTAATATAATAATAAAAATAAAACATAATAAAAATAATAAAATATGTTTTATTTACCGAAAAAACCAAGAAGATGAATCCCTGCAGTCACGAAAGCTTTAAATCGAAATTTAGTTTCACATGGTTACAACGATTAATCCCACGAATTTTCCCCACGTGCTCGTGGCCACCTCCCAGAATGCTGTGCAGCGTGTCGCCCGAGCGTCGCGCTCTGATTGGCTCGGTGTTCCGCCTGCTGCGCCGCGTCGCCGACAACGCGCACTGGAGTCACATGACCTCGTTCAGCCTATCGGTGTGCACGGCTCCCAGCATGCTCTGGGCCCCCGGGGAGATCGACCGAAGGCAGGAGGGCGACGTCATCGACAAGGTCGCTTTAATAAAAACAATAATTTAATAACAATAATAATAATATATACTAAGAAGAATAGGTTTTTAACCCTTTCTGGCAATAACACGGGATTTGTGTTAAGATGTTCAAACAACAAATAAGAAATCATCAAGTCTGCATTAACCACGCACAGTACGTGCGGCAAAACATGCAAACAAACATGCTCTGCTAAAAATAATAATGTATGGCATTGTCTTTGAAACTGATTGACCTACTACACCAGAGACAGCAGCCATCTTTATGGCCCTGTCTCACTACCAGTGGCAAATCTGTGGGTCTCTATGGGTCTGGGTGTCTGTGGGTTTCTGTGTATGTGCATACGTTGAACATCTTTCGCACCGAACGTAGCCAACCAGCTTCGCCGTGTGACGTCCGCTGCTGTCACTGTCGCTCTGTGCCGCCTCCAGATCGTCGCCTTCGTGCAGTTTCTGATCGACCACTGCCACGAAGTGTTTGGGGAGGTGGATGCTACGGATGACCCCAACTTCGACCTCCCAGACGATGGGGATCGCGGTGATGCTCAAAGCAGCCACACGGCTCATCACCACCACCATCAGCTGAACGTCAACCTTCCACTCATAGCCGAATCTGACCTCCAACTCACTCCCGATCCAAGCACTGATATCCAATTGACTACTAATCCAAACACTGACCTCAAACTCACCCCTGAATTTACCACTGATATTCAACTCTCTCTTGATTCAAACACTGACCCCAAACTCACTCCCGATTTAACCACTGATATTAAACTCTCTCCCGATCCAAATACTGACCCCAAAATCACTCCCGATCTAACCGCTGAAATGCAACTCTCTCCCAATCCAAACACTGACCTCAAACTCTCTCCTGATCTAATCACTGAAATTCAACTCTCTCCCGATCCAAACACTGACCTCGGACTGACTCCCGATCTAACCACTGATATTCAACTCATCCCCGACCCACACACCGACCTCAAACTCGCCCCCGATCGAAACGCCGACCTCCAATTAATTTCCCACCGAAGGACTCGCCTCAAATTTCACCCCATCCAAAGCGTGAAGGTGATTGTCAGCGGCGATCCAACTGCTCACATCCCGTTCAGATGCGATCCAAGTACCGGTGTCCACTTTGACCCCAATCCATCGTCTGACCTCCAACTTAATCGTGATCTGAAAACTGATGTAAAGTCCGAACACGGTCCAAGCACGAGCCTCAAGTCTGTGCATGAACAAAACGTCGAGGTCCAACTCCATTCTGATCCAGACGCTCACCTCGGACTTGACCTCGCGCTTGATTTTGAACGTGACAACAAGGCTGACGCCAAGGAACCAGACCCTGACCTGAACCTCGAGCTGTCACTCGACCCCGACGTGGATAAATCACCCCGGTTCGAAGCCGGAGGAAGCATCGACCGTCGCCTCGACCCTGACTCAAACGTTGACCCCGCCGCTGACCTCGAGCCAGCGGCGGTGGCGATCGCCGCTCGACGTCGCCCGGCGGACATCGAGGAGAGTGCCGGAAATTCCCGCATCAGGGGCACCACGTTTACCATCGGCGCCAAGTTGGGGACATCCCTCGTATTACACAGGAGCCAAATCGCTCGTGAACAAGAGCCCCACGGAAACCGCGGGGCGGACGCGTCACGGTCCGCATCGCAGGAGGAGGCGCGACGCTCTGGATCGGAGGCCCAGTTCTTCGGATCGCAGGAGGGGCGAAGCTCCGGATCGGAGGTGCGGTTCGTCAGGTCAGAGGCGACGCGACGCTCCAGATCAGAGGAGGCGCGGTGCTCCGGATCGGAAGCGCAGTTCTTCAGATCGGAGGATGCGCGACGCTCCGGATTGGGGGCGCGGTTCTTTGGGTCAGAGGAGGTGCGACACTCAGGCGACAGCAGGCGGCCGGAGCAGAGAGACTTCCACTGGGACTCGTGGAATCCGAGGCAGCAGACGCGGCCGGGGGTGATCCGAAAGCTCGTGAAACGCGGCAGGAAGTCCGCCCCGCAGGAAGTCGCCGACGGTCGCCGAGCGGAAGAAGCGGAAGCTGCGGCTGTGAAGGCTTCGGCTTCGTCTATTCATTCCCCATTGGGTGTCAGACGATCCACCAGTCCCGTTAACTTTTCTGTACCGGAAGCCCCAAGTGCCATCCCGCGATCGCGGCCTGGGGCCATCAAAAGGGTCGTCCGCTACATTGAGCACCGCGTGCCCAAGGGTCAGGGCATCCCGCGGGAAGCGCGGTTCCCTCCGCCGCTCGTGCACCATTCCCAACGGAGCAGTCGCCTCTCCAAGCACGAGTCCTGGCCCAGGGCCAAGGGAAGGCCGTCGAAGTCCGAGCCTTTCCAATCGGACTTGAGGTGTTTGACGCTGCCCTTTCAGTTCTCCAGCCCGGAGGTGCGGGCTCCCGCCCCTTCGTCCCGTCCCGGGGCCATCAGAAGGGTCACCCGTTACGTGACGCACTCCACTCCGAAAAAAATCCACGATGTCTCGTGGGAAGGTGACGAAGGTTTCCCGGAGGAGGTCGCAGGTACCCCACTAACGGGAGAGGCCCCTAGCTCGCGCCCGGAGAGCACCCCTCCGTTTGAGCCACGGGAAATCCCTCGACGGCCCCCGAGCTCCCTCATCTCCTCCGACTCCTCGGACGGCCTCCGGGTAATGGTGAGGGTGGCGCGTACGGAGGGGCGCAGGCACCGGCCCGCTCCACTCGTGGCGCTGGGCCGCGGCGTGGTTCACGTGGCCAGGCCATCGCCGCCGTCGGCGCGTGGCAGTCGCCGGCGGTCGCTCGCCCGCCGGTCGTTCACGGACGCCCGCTGCGCTCGCCTGCCACGCAGGGTCTGGCTGTATCGGACCCTCTGAGCTGTAAGAGAGTGTGATGCCGCACGCATTGAGGCTGTGAGAGATTTTGTTTTTTTTATGAATTCAAAGCTAGGCTGTAGGAGAGTGTTTAACACGCGTGTGGACTTCCGCGACCAGTAACATATAAGCTACTCATATTTCAACATTCGTCTTCGAGGTGGTGGCTGGTCGGACGGCTCAAATAATTAGAAGGGCACTTAATCTGAAAATAAATATAAATCAGCTTGTTATCCAACAATCCCATGACATAGCTTACGAGGGCAACCCTACACCGCAGCCCCACACTGCTGCTGCTGATGATGACACCCCGCCGTGGCTAGAATATGCTAACCACCTCACCTGGTATACAGGAGGTCGTGGGTTCGATCTCGACCCTGACACCTGCTGTATATTTGGAGTTTGCATCTCTCTTTCCCGGTGGTCGCGTGGATTTTTCTCCGGGTCCTTCGTTCATTTCCCTTCCAAATTTATAGTCAATGTCTCTACACGTTTAGAGTATTTGGCTACTCTATATTTTTACGTGGTGATGATGATGATAAGCCACTTCGTTGAGCTATCATTTGTGATGGTCATGTCGCTTTTGAAAAAGAGCTGTGTAGCTCAGTGGCCCTTACACAAGTTAAAATAGAAATATTATCCATAATAAATATTAGCTATAATAAATATTAACTATAATAAATATTAGCTATAATAAAGGGATTTTTGGAGTTTTTTTTTGTTAGATCACGTAAAATATAAATGTGTCGTTAAATCCGTCACCACCACCACCACCCGACATGGCCAAAGAGTAAAGGTTTAGTCAATAAAACAAAACGTTGCCAATTAGTTACGAGATCGGCACTAAGCGATTATTCTGCATTGGAGAGCGTAAACCCACAGCTACATTGACAATTCGAGTACACACAAAATTAAATCTTACTTATGAGCTAAACAGAGATCGGACGTCACGCGCAAAGGATCGGGGTGAATTTTACCGAATTTTACCGGGTAAAGTGCATAATGAAGGTTTACGTTTTTTGTTGGGTTACATCACGTAAATTATTAATGTGTCATTAAACCCATCACCACCACCACCCGACACGGCCAATTAGTAAAGGTTTAGTCACGTAAACAAAAGGTGGCCAATTAGTTACCAGTTCAGGACACTAACTGGTTGTTGTGTTGGAGAGTAAACCCACTACAATATTTACAATTAGAGTAGCTAGTGACATTTCGCCGGTGATTACAACAACAGCCAGCATCATTATCAGGTTGACTTGCCAGTATTGTGAAGAAATTTTCCTGTGTTGTCATCATTATTATCATGGATGCCATCCAGTGGCGTAGTAATACATTATCACTGGCGTAGTAGCTACGTTATCACTGGTGTAGTAACGGCATTATCAGTGGCATAGTAACGACATCATCAGCGGCGTAGTAATGACATAATCAGCGGCATAGTAACGACGTTGTCAGTGGCATAGTAACTACATCATCAGTATCGTAGTAACGACATTATCAGTGGTGTAATAACTACATTATCAGTGGCGTAGTAACTACATTATCAGTGGCTGCTTGCGTTGTGGCCGAAACGTCGCGAGAATTGTATTTTATTATGTTATATTTTTATTATTTCCCTTCTACGTGACTTTACCGAAAGAACCAAGAAGATGAATCCCTGCAGTCACGAAAGCTTTAAATCGAAATTTAGTAGTTAGCTCTTTGCAACATAACGTTACGGCTTCGATGAAATGTAAATGAAACGTGGAACGTAAATGAAAGCATTTTCGTCAAAAAATAAATTGAAACCGCGTTTTAAGTGTTCGTTTGTTGTTGTTGTTCTGTTGACGCCCAACGTTACTTCCATGCAAAGGTTGTCTCGTGCGACTCACACGTTCCATGCCTCTTACTGTGTCTCAACGACACAAAGAGCTGGATGACATCAAACCATCTGAAGCTTAACTCGACGGCTGCGACATCCCAGTGTCGGATAAGGCAACCACATGCCTTGGTGTCCTTGTCGATAGCCAGTCCCGGGTTAAGCCAAGCGCGCGGACTGTAACAAATGTTGTTATAAAGGGCCCCTAAATTTTATTAAAACATTACAACACAAATTTTTTACTTGCACAGTAAAGTAAATTGTAATTTTTCATTTGCTATACAGCCAGATAATACAACAAATCGCTAACCTTAAACACCCAGTCGTTCATAAAAGTTGAAGGCGGTATAGTACAATAGTAATGGAGCAAGTGCAGAATCGCTGAACCGCAATTGATAGCTCGAAAGCCCTCGAAAGCGCGGAGCGAATGTAGCATTTCTAGACACTTTTGCTACTGGGATAATCCAGGAACTGTCGATAGCGAACTGACATTCTCCGCTCGCATCTGGCGCCCGACTGGACGATGCTTCCACCATTCTCGGCAACCTCGTGCACGTTCTGCCTGTGCTTCCAGCGTGGAGACTGCGAGGACGCGAATCAGCGCGTCCATCATCGCTGCCCCACGTGGACTAACTTGCAAATGGCGTCTTCGGCCATGCCAGCGGTTCTATATTTGAAGCTTTCGTGACTGCAAGGATTCATATTCTTAGGTTTTTTCGGTAAAGTCACGTAGGTAAAACATCAAAATTAATAAAAGTAAAATAAAAATAAAAATCACGACGTTTCGGAGGCAACACAAACTTCCGTCTTCAGGTGGAACAGTCACATACAGCAATCGTGCTGTGACTGTTCCACCTGAAGACGGAAGCTTGTGTTGCCTCCGAAACGTCGTGATTTTTATTTTATTTTTATTTTACTTTTATTAATTTTGATGTTTTACCTACGTGACTTTACCGAAAAAACCTAAGAATATGAATCCTTGCAGTCACGAAAGCTTCAAATCTAGAATTAGTGTGGGGCGTGGCTTACTGATGTGATTGTGGGCGTGGCTTCACACGTGAAACCGACGTTTGACACAGCAACCAGCAGCAGCAGCAGCCTGTCCAGCGCCCATCGACGAGGTCTGTCGCGTCTGCTTCGAGTTGTTCAAGTTCAAGTTCATTTATTAGGTGTAGCCCTGTGAGCCATTCGGCTCTTGAATCGGGTGCAACCGCAACAAACAAAAAACATCTTAAAGTGAATATGTGACTAAGTGCAAACAGAACATCCAAGAAAAGACAGCAAAATATTGCAGATAAAAAAACACAGCAAGCAGCAGCAGCCTGTCCAGCATCAAACCTACGAGGTCTGTCCCGTCTGCTTCGAGCTGTTCACCGACCCCAGTGAGTCTTGCGTGCGGCCGCCACACGCTGTGCAAGTCGTGCCTCGAAGCCCACTGGCCACGTGGCCAGGCTTCTGCTGCGGGGCCTACCGCGCTAGGCCCGAGCTGAGCAGCAGCCGCGTCGCCGTGGGGGAATTTGACGGGAAAGCGGCGCGCGGAGTGAGGGTTCGAAGGTGGATTGGAGCGTCCGTGCGGTGGTGAGTGGGGGGGGTGAGTAGGGGGGTGAGTGGGGGGGTGAGTGGGGGGAGTGAGTGGTGGTGAGTGGGGGCGGGGTGGTGAGTGGGGCGGGGTGGTGAGTGGGGGGGTGGTGAGTGGGGGGGGTGAGTGGTGGTGAGTGGAGTGTGGGGGGGGGGGGTGAGTGGGGGGGGGGGTGGTGAGTGGGGGGGTGGTGAGTGGGGGGGGTGTGGTGAGTGGTGGGAGGGGCTGGTGAGTAGGGGTCGTGGTTGGGGTGGTGAGTGGGGGTGGTGGTTGGGGGTGGTGGTGAGTGGGGGGGGGGGGGTGGTGTGGGGGAGGGTGGGGGGGTGAGTGGGGGGGGGGTGAGGGGGGGGTGGTGAGTGGGGGGGGGTGGTGAGTGGGGGGGGGTGGTGAGTGGGGGTCGTGGTGAGTGGGGGTCGTGGTGAGTGGGGGTCGTGGTGAGTGTGGGTCGTGGTGAGTGGGGGATGGGGTGGTGAGTGGGGGTCGTGGTGAGTGGGGGGGGTGGTGAGTGGGGGGGGTGGTGAGTGGGGGGGGGGGTGAGTGGGGGGGTGGTGGTGAGTGGGGGGGTGAGTGGGGGTGGTGGTTGGGGTGGTGGTGAGTGGGGGGTGGTGGTGAGTGGGGGCGTGGTGAGTGGGGGGGGGGGGTGGTGAATGGGGGGGTGGTGAGTGGGGGGGGGGTGGTGAGTGGGGGTGGTGGTGAGTGGGGGGGTGGTGAGTGGGGGGAGTGGTGAGTGGGGGGGGTGGGGGTCGTGGTTGGGGTGGTGAGTGGGGGGGGTGAGTGGGGGGCGTGGTGAGTGGGGGGGGGGTAGTGAGTGGGGGGGGTGGTGAGTGGGGGGGGGGGTGAGTGGGGGGGGTGGTGAGTGGGGGGGGTGGTGAGTGGGGGGGGTGGTGAGTGGGGGGGGGTGGTGAGTGGGGGGGGGGGTGGTGAGTGGGGGGGGTGGTGGTGAGGGGGGCGTGGGGGTCGTGGTTGGGGTGATGAGTGGGGGTGGGTGAGTGGGAGTGGTGAGTGGCGGGGGTGATGGGCGGTGTGGGTCGTGGTTGGGGTGGTGAGTGGGGGTTGTGAGTGGTGGGAGTCGTGGTTGGGGTGGTGGTGGTGGTGGGGGTGGTGAGTGGTGGGGGTGGTGATGGTGGGGTTGGTGGTGGGGGGGAGGGGGGATGGTGGTGGCCTCAAGGTGCACATGGCCTGGCACAAGCGTCGTGGTGACGTCACTGCCACTTAGTGGCGAATGGCGGTTGTTGGTTGGGATGGTGAGGGTGGGGGTGGTTTGGGTGATCGAGGGGGTGGTGGGGTTGGGGGTTGGGGGGTGGTGAGGGAGGGGGTGTTTGGGGTTGTGGTGAGGGGGATGGGGGTGGTGGCGGTTTGGGTTCATAGTTTGTTTATTAAACGTGTTGCCTCCAACTTATACAAGGTAGTCCTCTACTTACGATGGAGATGCGTTACGACGACCCCATCGTAAATCACAAATATCGTAAGTCGATAATGGCCTAGCCTGCCCAGGAGTCTTAAAGAAATTTAGCAAAACAGAGCAATTTACAGTACCGTACTGTATAAACTATATACTGTATGTATTTAATTACAATACTGTATTGCACAGTAAAATGTAAAGTAAATAAATTCTTAGCCTCCCTATATGAACTGCAATTTAATAGAAAGTTTTTTTCAGGAAACAATCCTATCTGCTATAAAAACTTTTAACATGCATTGAACTTATCATATCGTGGTAACACTAAAATGAAATCGATAAAGCTACGTGTCATACATGCATTGAACGTATCGTATAATTGGGCTTTGAAACACAGGAAAAAATACACGCGCTAACACCGAGACAACTTAACTCCGTCGACGGCTGGTGAGAGTGAAGCATCACACAAGGCGGGAGTTGCGTACATCCCGGCAGCGTCCCAACGTACAGTATCGTACCTCGTACGCTGCTGTGTTTGCCTGCCGCGCGAAACTTAAAATATCTTACAATTTTCTCGTATCGCCATTTTAAGATCAAAATATCGTAAGTCGGACCATCGTAACTCGGGGACTATCTGTAGTGTGTGCGCCTCCTTGTATGTTACACACTACACTGGTGCCAGAAGTGATTATTAGTTTGGTGTAGCTAGGAGCGATTAGAAATGTTAACAAGACGTAAGGCTCTCACCCAGTCGTCTTCAGGTGAAGAAACAGATGACGGTGTGATCCCACAGACGGCCCCGGTGATGAAGCGCGGGGAGATCCTGGCGCCGGCGCAGCAGCGAGACTCGGAGCTGGCTTCACCGCCTCCACCAGGGAGGGAGCGCTGCCTTATGAAAGACTGCCCCGGCGACCTTCTCTCCGCCATCGCAGATCTGGCTGCTGTACTACCGCAGGAGAACGCCGACGGAATGCCGCGGACCTCTGTCGCTGTTTCCCGCGCGCGGGAAATGGTAGAGGCCCATGCCGCGCGGGAGCCCGCCAAAATTCAAAATGCGCGGGACTCATCTCCCGCCAAAACCAACCTCCCGCCAGCAGCACTTCAAGCGGACCAAGATTTTCCCTTCATTCAGGAGTTCGCCGCTGCGGGCGGCGATTGGGAGGTTTTCTGCCTTCGCTTCTCCGTCAACTTCGAAGTGGCAAGGTGGACGGAGGAGGAGGCGCTGCGGGCGCTCCCTCTGGTGCTCGATGACGACGCGCTGGCGGCGTTTGACGCTATCCCCGACAACGACAAGGCGACACTCACCCAAGCGCTCCAACAGATGGGGGCGATTTTCGCCCCTCTGTCAATGCAACGCCACAAGTTTGCTATGCTTAGGCGAGAGGAGGACGAGCCACCCCTCTCCTATCGCGCAGCACTCCTGTTTTTGGCGAAATCGGCGTATCCCAAGATGGACCACGTGGGGTGGGAATATCTCATCCTGGACAAAATGCTGCTGCTGGCCCGAGATCTCCAGGTCGTCTTGCCATACATGGATGACGACGACCTGACGTCTCTTCAAGTTGCGCGGTGCCTCCAAACCCATTTTAATGCCACGAGGAAGACCGCCAAAATTAAAAATGCGCGGAACTCGTCTCCCACCAAAACCGACCTCCCGCCAACAGCGCTTCAAGCGGACCGCGATTTTCCCTTATTTCGGGAGTTCACCGCTGCGAGCGGCGATTGGGAGGCTTTCTGCCGTCGCTTCTCCGCCGCCTTCAAACTGGTGGGGTGGACGGAGGAGAAGGCGCTGCTGGCGCTTCCTCTGGTGCTCGATGATGATGCACTGGCGGCGTTTGACGCTATCCCCGACAACGACAAGGCGACACTCACCCAAGCGCTCCAGCAGATGGGGGCGATTTTCGCCCCTCTGTCAATGAAACGCCACAAGTTTGCTATGCGTAGGCAAAGGGAGGCCGAGACGCCCCTCGCCTATCGCATAGCACTGCTGTCTTTGGCGAAATCGGCGTATCCCAAGATGGACCAGGTGGGGTGG